GCCCCATATGCAAAGCTGTGGGTTAGGTTTAATTTGGAGCTGATATGACCTACAGATCTTTGGATGTGTTGCAAGGGAGACCTCAGTCTTCAATAATGCAGCATCTCACAATAGTCCTGCTCCCCAGGACAGCAGGGAAGGGAAGGGAAGGCAGAGGAGATGATCGACATTGAGTATCCCAAGATTTTCAGCATTTTTTTTCCCATTCTTAACCCTAAAAGCCATACTCCAGCCTCTTCTTCTGTTTGAAGGATGTAAGAGACCCACCTTTCAGATTTCTACTTCCATCACTAACCAGAACCACCATCACTATCAGATATTAAGCTAATATCCTTATTTTATAAGAGTCTCACCCCTTATTGTTCAATAAGCAATATTCATAGCCTCTTTGTCTTTCCTCACCTGCTAAGAAAATCTTTGACATTTCCCACACAGCACTGACCCCATTCCTAAATCTTCCACCCCTTCCCCTGTGTCTTACTGAATATATTAAGGCAATCAGTGTGTGTGAGTGGAGGAGGGGAAAGCAAAGGGAGATAAGAAAACAGCAGCTGGAGGATAAAGAAAAAGAGAGGGAAGAACAGACGAAGAGGAAGGATAGCATGATGTCAGGGAGAGATTTGGTGGAGAATAAGGAACACACAATGAGGAAACCTTCAAAGCATCTACCCAGTACCAAGAACTGGATTCAAGACAAATAGACTAGAGAAGGAAAGTGTTGCAGAAGGGAATCATCTGAGTTCCTATAGACGGTCTTCAAGAGACATAAGATGGGAATCACTTCTACTGTTGGCCCCTGGACTCTATGCATTTGAATGAGACATTGCTCCAAGAGTCAGTCACTTGGATCTCTGGATTTCCTTGGGTTTCATATAGCTGATAAAAATGAGACTCAAAGAGGTCAGTAACTGGTAAAGTGACAACTCAATTCTGCCTGTCACTCAAGTTTCTGATTGACCACATCACACAGCCAGGTAAACAGAAATCTATACAGATTCTTTTCACCATTATCATCAATTGCTCATGAGGATTAGCTATTCACCCAGGCCAGACCCAGCAACCAGGATGGAAGCTTTTGCGTTGTTACTATACAAATAATGCCAACAAATGAGAGTTAACTCACGAGAGACCGAAAAATTATTACTGCCAGCAGTGGATGCTAAATAAAAGGAATTCCCACATTCTAAGATAGAAAATTGCCAAGGATTTGGAGTTTTGAAGTCTTAAAAACTTCTCATAAAGTCAAACAAGTAATTTTTTACTTGCAACACAAATATATACACATATATATGTATACGTGTGTTTATACAGAGCTACATATATGTATATATTTAGGTATATATGTATGTGCTTGTGTGTGTGTGTATGTATGCCTACGTCAAACTAGAATGATTTACTTTCAACAAATGCCAAACCCTAGGCAAAGCTGAGGTAAAGCTTTCTTTTGTTGTTTAAACTCTAACCATATCAAGGTACCAGAACTTAAAGAAGTTTCTAATAATGTCATATATTATACTGTTTAATGAGTATGACATAAAAATATCTGAACACACAGACACATAAATATTATTGGAGAATGTAATTATGAGTTTTTACATTTTGTTTTGGTTTGTTTTTAACTCAGCAGTCTTATCTGTAAAGAGCATGAATTCCACGTGAACTATACCGAGTTCGACTATGCTCAGGGCACAGTGCAGAGGCCGAGTCCCACGATGCTGGGAGGGGAGTGAGTCCACAGCCCTGCCCTGGTAGAAGTTTATCAGTTCTGTCTGGTTATCTCTTTTACGCCCCTGGTCACAGTGGTGTTCCCATCTTCCCAATGATTCACTGTCTCTTTTCCTAAGTTATTAATTAACAGGCAAGAATCAAGTGCAAACAAGACTATTAGGAAAACAAGAAGCAGAAAAGCTGGGTCACAGACTCGGAACCGAATCGGAGCCTGGGAAATCAGGAGTTGCCTCCAAACCCTCTGACACAGCATGTCACCCACACAGCCCAACCCCTTGGAGAGGAGAAGAGAGGAAGAAGAAACTCAAGGGCATAAATGTGCAGGGATGAGAACAACAGTGCCAGGGCTGGGGAGCAATTCCTTATTTGCATCCTAACCTGCTGTTGTCAGTAAGGTCTGTTGTTGCTCTGTTGTTTCAGAGGAAACATTTTAGTACCATTTTATCAAGGATGCTGGGACAGTAATATGGATGAGCTTGATACAAAAGAGACCATATACTATAGACAAGAAGGAAAAAAGAGAACAACTAAATGTGACAAGCCACAGTGTAGCCATTTCAGTGTATTTGCTACACTCTCCTCAGAAGCAGAAGAGAATAAAAGGTACAAAATGGGGGAGGGGGTATGCACACCAGCCACACCTGTTCTCTGGATCTTATTTGGCTCCAAAGACTTACTATTCCAAGTATGTTCCCCAAGACCAGCAGCAGCACCTGGGAGCTTGTTAGAGATGCCCGACCTGGACCTACTGAATCAGATCTGCACCCCCAGGTAATTCACATGCATGTTCAAGCTGTGGATTAACTACACGGGACCCTACACCATCTGGTGAATTCAGAGGGTTCAGTCTTTCCTCGTTCTTCCTTTAGTCTCCAAAATGTGAGCACCCATTACATGTGGGCACTGTTCTCAGCAAGGACTGTGGATACAGTGGTGATGTAAAAAACAGTGACACTCCTGGCCCTCCTGCAGCTTAGTGTTGAGCACCAGGGGGACAAACATGACTCATACAACCACACACACACATAAAAGTACAACTGCGTGATGAATGCTGCAAAAGAGAAGCGTGGTCTTACGAGAGCATAAAACAAGGAGATCAGACCCTGGCAGGGAAGGTTCCCTGCAGAAATTGATGATAGAATTGAGATCTGCAGGATGAGTAGACATTAACAAGGTATGGAAGGGAGAGAACAGCATCCAGGTAAAGACGAAAGGCATATGCAAATGCCCCATGGCATGAAGGTACATTGCACATTAAAGGAACTATAAGGGAACAGCATGTGCAAAGTGAGACTGGCAGGGAGGCGGGGTCCAGACCATGCAGATTCTTGTAGAGCCATGAAGGATTTGATTCTAAGAACAGAGGGAAGCCCCTCTGTTTTAAAGTTTTAAGCAGGTTATACCAGATTAGAAAAAAGAGGGTAAAGTGGATAGATCCCAGGGATTTTACTAAGGAAGTAGTAAGACTCAGATCCCAGACAACCCTGTTTGCATAATTTACCTTCCCTCCCTTTTGACCCTGGACTATATCATGCCTCCCACCAACCCCACAACACAAACTGAGCCTCTTTCCTACCAAAGAAATAGGCAAGAAGCGCCCCAATGCTAAAGGAAAAAGAACATACATACACAGCTCATGAATAAGCCTGGATGGCTGCCCCAGGATGTTGGAAGGAGTGTTGAGTAGTACTTAAGACTCTCAGAAGTAAGGAATATCTGAATTCAGACCTGGTTCTACCACTGACTACCTGGACAAGCCCCATCTACTCAACGGGCATAATAATGCCTACATCACAAGGGTACTGACTGAATTAAACAAGGTCGAGTCTACAAAACCCTAAGCATGGCACTTACACACAGTAGGCGTTCAATGAAAGATATATTATCTTTACAAACCACTGTGGTTCTCAATCTGCTCTCAGGAGCACATTAACTCTTGAAGCTAAAATAAATTGTTTCTTTACTAAAAAATAATAATCATTGGCATGTAGCAAATGCTTAGACACATGCTAAGCCCTCACCTCTCACTTATTATTTCATTAAGTGATCACAATAACTCTCTGAAGTGGGTGCTGCTATTAACCTCATTTTACAATGGAGCACAAGAGGGTAAGTAGCTTGCTCAGGCATTCAGTGTGAGTCCAGGTTCTAAGCAGGCTTCGTGATGACTCAGGGCTCCCAGTGGGCATAACTCTACCCAATAAGTTGGCAGTTCACAAAGGGCTGTCCCTCTCACCCTTGAGCTCCTTGAAGCATGTAACTCTTAGTCAGCATGAGATTCACTGATGCCCAACAAGGCCTGGTGCACTGAAATTCTCACGAGTGAAAGCCTGAATGAAGGAGGCTGCCTCCTAAAAGAATCTGACACTGACCAGGGGTGGAGGCCCGTGAATGGTAAGAAAGACAAAACAGGTGTGCCCAACTTACACCTTTCTTGTGAAGAGAAGCTTTCTCTGGCTTGGCTAGACTCTAGTCCTTAGGAGGCCAGCTACCTGAAAATCCCTAAGGACTGAGTTTTGGTAAAATGTAACTTCCTCTTCAGAATTTCCCGCTTAGGGTGTTTGATGGAACAGCCTAATCCCTGCTTTATTTCAACCATGAACTGAACTGCCTTTATTTCCCAATTTTTTGCACTCCACTGTTGCCACCAACTTGGTGTTTACAAAGCACCTTTGCCCTCAGGATTTCCAGGCAGTGATAAAAGCATAGAGGAAATATTTCATGGCTGGTCTATTCTAGGGCTGTAGGGGGTGTGCAGAATCAGCCAGTTGTAAGGAAAGGACCAAGACTTGAAAGCTTTCTCAGAGGACACCAAGTGTTACCTTGGTATTTAGATGGTAAGGAGCCTGTTGGGTCAAGTGCTTCCTCAGGGAACTGGAGGGGCACCAATTTGCTCAAACCCACCCCTGGTTGGGGAATATAATAGAGGGCTAGAGTTCAGACTTTTATTCCAGCTGATGCTTCATTTAGGATAAATGATTTTACCTTTCCTTTTGTGAAAGATGACACGAGTGGAGCCATATTGAAATAGAGCTGGAATAAGCATTTCAGAGGAATTGCCTTGAACGTTTTATACTCTTTATCTTCCAAACTGGACCAAACCACCAACATTCCAAGAAAATTCCAGTTTGTAAGGACTGATCAAACTGGACTTTGCTGATGACTGAATCTCAACCAATCAATAAAGTACAAACATAGCCTTACCTCATCTAGCACCAATGAACTCCTCTTTAATACAACTCACCTCATCCTCCCATTTTCCCATAAAAACCCTAAGTCCCTCTCCTGTAATCGGGATGCTATCTGAGTTTCTACCTGAATCTATGCTCCCAGAATTTCAATTCTTTGATCCTAAATAAGCGCTCTGCCTCTTAAACTGGTTTCTGTTTTTGTAGGTTGACACTTTCAACTCCCTGTGACTAAAGGTATGTTGGAGAAAGCCAATTCAGCAAACTTCACGGGTGTCCCCACACTGCAACAGACGTAAAACCACGTGGAAAATGAAAGGGACTGCCTGAGGTATTTTTTTCTGTGGCAACTAATATTGTAACAGTCACACAGCAGCCAAAGTAGAGGTTTGGGAACTAGTCAAACATGAGTTCAAATCCAAATGCATCCACTTCCCAGATGTGTGTTGTCAGACAAGTTAGCGAAGAAAGTGTCACTTATTACATTAATACACACACACATGCCTACATGATGTGCTCACATGCAGTGAACACTGTGCTGTGCCTCCCTCCAGTATCTCCCTTCAGGACTTGTCTTGACTACAGAGAGCCACCTTCCCCAAGATCACCTCCCCTTCCCAGAACAGCCTGCATCCAATGGCTATTTGACATGACAAGCCTAGCCCTTTCAGCTGAAGAACTATCTCAATTTTAGAGCTAGCTGTGGGTCAGCTGAGGCCTTCGCTGAGACCACCTCACAAACTAACTTCTCCTTCGGCCAATCCCTCCACAGGGGTTGGTCCCTAGAACATTCCCTAACGAATGATCTGCATGGTAATCTCCCTCTCTGAGTTTGTTTTCCAGGAGCCAAACTATACTTCACCAAAAAACTGGAAGGAGAGATGGTGAACTATGACCAGCTCACAGTACTACACTATTTGATTTGTCATTTTTCCAAGGTTAAGATGCAAATGTGAAAAAAATTGAGTTAATTTTTTTAAAGGGTTGATATGATACCCAAAGGACACTCAACATTTCCTTTTTCCTTAGCTCTAACTCTCCCTACATCACACAAACTTGTCTATACCAGATTTGTTTTTATTTGTTTTAATTAGGATGAACAGCAAAGTGGTTTGCAAGTTATATCCTTTAAATCAAAAAGAATGACGCTACTGAAACAATCTATAGTCAGCTAACCTGAAACATCCAACTCTGAAATGCATAAAGGCTTTAATCGCTCAAACACTTAAGTAAAACTTTTCTTGGACAAGTAATCAAGTAATATCTTAGAAATTATTTTTTAGCAGAGGGCAAAGAAATTACACCACCACCCACTAAATCTGAATAATACAAACTATACTTTATGTAGTAAACATTCATTCCAAGTTTTTCTTATGAATATAAATATTAGAAGAGATGGTATTAAAAGTTCTCTATTGCCAGCCTTGCCTTGAAACACAAAGAAAAGATATTAAGGCTCAGTAATAACCAGCTAATTACGAAAAGCAGAGGTGGAAATGGATGAGAAATGAAAGCAGATGGTGAGACTTTGTTAACTCACTTAAAGGAAATTTCCCAGGAATGAGCCATTAAGTGGCTGAGCAATAGACCTGAACAGTCTTTAAGGAGCAATGTGTGCCATAAAGGCCAAATACCACTGAATAATTTCACCAAATGCTCTACGCAGCATTTTTAAAGCTTCTTGCTATAACTCTGAATGTAGTCACATGAAATTCATATGAGCCTTCTTGGTTACAGCCCATCTCTAATTGACCAGGGAAAAGGGGGACAGAGGATGAGTGAGATTAATAAATTAAGAAATGTCTTCCTAGTTCAACATTTTGAAACTTTCAACATTTTGACCAGAGTCGTTAAGTGACTAACAGGATTTTCGGCTACATTTTCCTATTTCCCCAGGTAATAAACAAAAATGAAAAGCAAAGAAAATTAGACTGGAAGAGTATTCAAACTGCCAAGTGTAAGGGTCTCTATTTGCCTGACTATTCTTAACCCTTGATTTGTCTGGTTTCTATGATGCGCTTCAATTTGGGTGTGGTCTAGTCATTCTCAACCAGGGAGTATTCTGTCCACCAGGGGACTTGGAGCAATGTTTAAAGACATTTACTGGTTGTGGGCCGGCCCCGTGGCTTAGTGGTTAAGTGCGCGCGCTGCGCTGCTGGCGGCCCGGGTTCGGATCCTGGGCGCGCATGGGCGCGCCGCTTCTCCGGCCATGCTGAGGCCACGTCCCGCGTGCAGCGGCTGGAGGGATGTGCAGCTATGACACACAACTGTCTGCTGGGGCTTTGGGGGAAAAAATAAATAAATAAAATTATTTAAAAAAAAAAAAAAAGACATTTACTGGTTGTTACAACGCGGGGGGGGGGGGGATGTATTTACTGGCATCTAATGGGTAGAGGCCAAGGATATGGCTAAACATCTTACAATACCCACTCCAGCCTCCAACAACAAAGAATTATCCAGCTCCAAATGTCAACAGTGCTGAGGTTGAGAAAGTACAGTGGAGTGGAGTGAGCACTAAAATTCCAAATCAAAGGAGCCCCCTGTGAATCCTAAGTACCTTGGGCAGGTTTTCTGAGCCATGGTTTCCATATGCATAAAATGGGGCTAATAACACTCTTCAAGAGTTTTGGCAAAGAATAAAGAGGATGACAGATGACAAATCACCTAGCACCGTGCCTGGCACATCAAAGGTGCCTGTGATGTCTGGTAAATCTGAATCACTGCTATTTTTTAACTGCAGCTATTTCCCACCCAGCCCCATTTCCTCTAGGATTTTACTGGGAAGCAAAGAAAAGAGGAACCCAGCCAATTCTGAAGCCCACTCTAGGTCAATAGTTTGCATGTAGCTCATTTAATAATTTTGACTCCTATTGTGTCTAAATTTATGTTTGAGGAACCTGGGGGTGGAAAGGCCACAATTTTTACATTTTTTTAAAAGGTGTGTTGTTTTTTCAAAGGAGAATTTCAATTCAATGACCTACGAGCCAAATGAAAGAAGGAAATGCAAAAATCCCCACTAGGTCTTTTCCCAGACAATGAACATCTTCAATGAGTTAATTGAAGGCTTATTTAAATAGAACAAAGCAGATGCTCAGATATCAGACAAAAAGAAAAAAAAGGAACTTCTCCCTTAGTAATGACCACGCATGGCGGCTCAGCGGAGAACTACGACGTGATATATTACGGCCATAATCCTCCATTTACCTTATAAAAATCCTACTTGCCTGCTGCGAACTACACCAACAAGTCACATGTGTAACAGCCAGTTTTCTGTTACTCTTGCCCCAATTCCAATCCTCAGAGGAAGGGAGGGTAACCATATAATTCATCGTCCAAACCAGGACACTGAAGACTGAAAAGGGCACTATGAATAATTACACCAGGACAACAGGTGTAAACCAGATATTTCTCGAGCAAACTGAGATATATAACCACCCTAGTCAGTGGGAACCATGGGTAACAGTTCCCCATTGTTCTGGACATTTTCATTTTTAAGGCACACATATACAACCACCCAGGTCAGTTGTGAACCAGTTACATGAATGGGATCAGCCCACAGATGCTGTTCTGTCTCTGTTTTTTTTTTATTTAACATATCATGATACATTAATATGTCAGGGCACAGAGACTGACCTCATTTTTTCTTAATGGACTGTAGAATATGCCACAGCAGGGAGATGCCATAATTTTTCAATCACCCACAACACATAAGTCAACTTCAAGTTTTTGTCATTACGAGCAATGCTATAGAGAACATAGCCCTACATACATCTTTTAGGGGTTTGAGTATTTCCAGAGGATAGGCTTCTAGTGGTGGAAATGCTAGGTCAAAATGTTACCATTTTTGATGGGTTCTTCTCAAATGCTCTCCAAAAAGGCTGTCAAGTCATATCAAGACCATCAGTTAATGAACACTTTTGAATTTCTGCCAAGCTGATAAAGGGAACATACTCTCTCACTCCATTATTTCCTTATATGTTCTCTCAACTCCAGACAGTCTGGACCGTGGGCGGACATGGAATTTTCCTACCTCTAGGCCTTTGCTCCTGCTGTTCCCTCCACTTACAATAACATTCCATCCCACCTCTATAAATATCCTACTAATGACAAATACAGCCTCCTGGTAAGGCCTGTCCTGAGGCTGATCAACCAGATGACGTTTTCACGTCACCTTTTCCTCCTGCAAATGCCCACAGCACTGTTTATTTTCCCCACTGCACTCCCGCCCCATAACCTGAATCAGAGTCCACAGTCACCCTGTAAATCATGGAGACTCAGAGACAAGTGTCTACGGGCATGCACAGGCACCGAGTTGCACAGACCTAACCTGTCCTAATTTCCTTATCTGTAAAATGGGGATTTAAAATAGTACCTACCCCAAGTACCTACATTTTCCTATAATTTTGAAAATTATATGAGCAAATGTACAGAAAGCACTCAACATATGAGGAGATAAAGAAATGCTAACAATGTAATTTATTACTGTTTAATAGCAGAATTGATCCCTTGAGGGCATGCTTCATTCAACTCAGTCCTATGGAATCTAGCACATTAATCTGCACATAGAAATCACACAATACATGTGTTTGCTGAATGGAGTCTTTAACGTTGCTCACTGGATCAAATAATAATAATAATGGCAATTAATATGTATTGATCCATTACTATGTACTAGGCAGTCTGATGAATATTTCTCTTTTAATCCTCACAAACAATTCTATGAGGTAGGTACTGTACAGATAGAAAACCAAGCCTTGAAGAGGTTATAAATCTCACCCAACGCCAGAGGTGGATAGGGGATTCAGACCCACAACTGCCTGACTCGAGGCTATACCCTCAACAATTCCAGAGTCTATGCCCTTAAGCTGTACCCTACACTGCATCAAATATCACTAAGAAAGAGAAGTCAACAGAGTCCCAAGATCTCCTGGTCTTACTCACATACAAATTCTTTCATAGACTATAAATACCTTTATATACTTAGTGCAATCACTGTTCGGGCATCCCTATCTTGTACTCACCCATCTCCCACCAGATCTCCCATCCAACGAAACCAAATATTTACTTTAAAAATAAAATAAGCACAGAAGGCAGGGACAGATAAACAATCTTCTGGAGGAGGAATGCCAGGTCTCAATGGCAAGGTTCAACCAAGGCTTCTTCCAGTCCAGCAAATCTTGGACCTGACCCACATGGTAGCCCACAGGTCCAAGCACATATTCATACAGATCTACCGCAGTACGCTACCCTGAGACATACTGGGCATTGTGATAGTTTGGGGAACAATTCAAAAGTGAGCCTTGCACTTGATCACCATGTCAGGATCTTCTAGCCCCACAGCAGATTACTGTAAATCCTCGGCCCAAGGAGCCCTCACTACACTTAAGAAGCAGAGATACCATGCCTCATGACAGCTGGTTGGGCTCAGGACACGTGCAATTAATGACTGTTTATTGAATTCCAGCAATTTGTCTTCACATCTATAAATATGGCACTCTACTCTTTCTACAGATGAAGAAATTGAGACACAGGTATTACTAAGTAGCAGGATCCTGGATCACTTGAAAAGTAGAAATAAAATGGGACAGCCAGTAAGTGCAATGTTTTCCCTGCAACAGCCACACTGATTTGTTGTACCAGGTGCAGGGCTTCTCCTAACTGCCCCCGTCCTATGTGGGATGGCCTGTCTTGGTTCGGAAAAATGCACAAACGGAAGGACATAATGCACATGTACTAATTGATAAATGAAGACAGATGTGGTAAATCAAAATCAGCTCAGGACATGGCATCAAAGACCTGGATATAAAGCTCTGGCTCGGCCGACCCAGGAGAAGTTCATTTCCTCTTCAGTGACTGAAGATACAGCCAACCACCTCCCAGTGCTCATAAGAGCACCCATCATTCCTGGACCTCAGCACCTGGTTTGTATCCCAGCTCTGCCATTAACAGCAGTGGCAAAGAATACCTTCACTTCTCTGAGCCTCAATTTCTTATTCTGTCAAATGGGAGTGATTATAGTACCTATACTTCATAGAGTTGTTTAAGGAGTAAATGAGTTAATATAGAGCACTTACAGCAAAACATGGCACACAGTAAGGGCTATAAAGTTTACTGGAAAATGCCTACAGTATTTGCTATCCATCTATCTTTATACCAATCATTCTAGAATTCTAAAGACTCAGGAATCATTTATTTGCTCTGTAATCATTTGTAGCTTCCCACAGAGTGGTGACTAAATTCAGACTTCAAGCAAGGGATCTAAGGGAAATAACATGAAGACATAAAGATAGTGTACTTAGAATGTGTTTCTATCAAATCTGCTCCATATAACGTGGTCCAACAAATTCAGCTCTATAAAATCTAAGAGGATGTGGTAGTGCCAGGAAAGAAGATAAAAACCCAGAGTGCTAAACAGAAGTGTTTTGAGTCAATTACGCAGGCAATTCAGTGCCTCCACAAACCTAAAATCAAGTTATCAGATTCAAAAGAGGAAAACTGACTAACTTAATAATAACTATCATTTATTCAATGTTGCCTTTGCTCTATGTTCCATGCTGAGAGGTTCACTGCAACATTTTGTGTAATCCTTACAGCAACCATACAAGGAGTGTGTTGTTATCACTACTTTGCAGAAGTAAAATCATGCACCCAAGGCCACACAGCAAGTGAGCAGTGGGACTGGATTTGAACTGGACTATTTGAAATGCAAAGCCTGTGAGTATAACTAGTGAGACTATGGCCTCCAACCCAGAAAGGGGGAATGTTTGCCAGGTCAAAGCTGATGGTGGGACTGAAGTCCCTAAAACCAGATGATCAACATGCACACCCTTCACAAACTGCCCTGAAGTGCCAAAGAGATGACAAGGAAACACTGCTGGTGAAGTTCCACCCTGGGCTATACATTCCCCACCCTCGGAGCTGGAGACACGAGGCAAGTGGTGCTCCTGACAGACCTGGGGAGGTCAGGCAAAGCTGAGAAACGAAGAAAAGCAGAAGAGAGGATGAAGACTTCAAGAAAATCTAACTAAACCTGCTTCTGAGGGCAGTAGGAAGACTAAAGTCAAACAGAAAAAAGTGGAAACAACCCAAATGTTCACCGACAGAAGAATGGATAAACAAAATGTGGTATATCCATACAATGGAATACTATTCAGCCTTAAAAAGGAAGGAAATTCTGACACACACTTTGATATGGATGAACTTTGAAGACCTTGTGCTAAGCGGAATAAGCCAGACACAAAAGGACCAATATTGTATGATTCCATTTAGATGCGATACCTAGAATAGTGAGATTTATGGAAATAGAAAGTTTGCTGGTGGTTGCCAGGAGCTGGGAGAGGGAGGAGAGGATGGGGAGCTAATGTTTAATAGGTAGAGTTTCACTTTGGGAAGATGAAAAAGTTCTGGAGATGGATGGGGGGGATGGTTGCACAATAGTGTGAATGTACTTAATGCCACTGAACTGTACATTTAAAAATTGGTTAAAATGGTAAATTGTATGTTATGTACATTTTACCATAATTTTTTTTTAATTTGGTATCCTTTATTTATTTATTTTTCTCTTTTTTCTCCCCAAAGGCCCAGTAGATAGTTGTATGTCATAGTTGCACCACCTTCTAGTTGCTGTATGTGGGACGCCGCCTCAGCATGGCCGGACAAGCGGTGCGTCGGTGCATGCCCGGGATCCAAACCTGGGCCACCAGTAGTGGAGCGCACGCACTTAACCGCTAAGCCACGGGGCCGGCCCCCGGGCCGGCCCCTACCATAATTTTTTAAAAAGTCTAATAGAACCTTGCTAGGTCCAAAAGTGCAAGTTGCATCCCTAGAACAGTCTGAGGAAAAGACTGTGTTCATCAGTGCTGGAAGATGCAGGCACTTGTGTCTGGACCCGGGCAGGGCACAGCTGCAGACAGACAAACAGAAAAGCTCTGAGCTGCGATGAGTCAGGCTTCCCTGCACGCCCATCCCCCGAGGCACAGATGTCTCCTTTCCCTCGGAGGTGCCAGAGTGCAAGGAAGGGCACTTGACTTCCCGCCTTTCTCAGACCACACTCTGGAGGGTTCTGTACCCTGAACTGACACAATGGTGTGGTGCAGTCTGAAGGGGATCCCACCACGCGCCACGAGACAATAATGCAGTATCCTAGTGAAACCCTGGAGCATTTCCAAGCTGGAGGAAACCCATCGCTGTCACTCAATCAGCTGGCTAACCTGGGACAAGTAACAACTTCTTAAGCCTCAGAGTCTTGACCTCTAAAATGGGAGGATGGCGCACACACTTCACAGCTCATGCTGAGGATTAAAGACCATGCGCGTGTGGCTCTCACCTGAAAAGCACTAAACCTAGTTCTGCTATTGTTGGCATTGCTGGTCTTAGGCCTCTCTCCTCGGTTTTCACTCCCATACTTGAAGCCCCATAGGCAGATGATATGACAAGCTGGGGAGGTGAGGCCTGGAAGGCTTCCCAACTTTGACAAGGAAAGAAGACTGTTAGTCATGCACGAGGAAGCAGGAGAAAGCCATTAGAGAAGGCAAACAGTGAGGATGCGGGAACCAGCATGAAAAAAGAAAAAGCAAACATCTTTACTCTTCTCTGGGAGTTAATATCTGTAAATTGCTCTATTATCTTGGATTCATTTATTTTTCTTCCTTTTATCTTGGTCAGAGATGGGGTCCCTCATTATTGCTGGCTGTACTATATACACACACACAAACACACAAACAACCATGAGACAAAGATAAGGTTAGGACACTTTGGGGGAGGAGGGGATGTGTATGCACATTTGATGTTGTTATATTTTACAAGCCTAGAACAAAATATCTTCAACCACCACCCCCCCATACACACACACACACACACACACACACACACACACAAGCAGCCTGTGTATATTTTCACATTTGTAACTTTCAGCTACCACCACTGAGGGGATATAAAAGCTGACTATTTTACTCCAAAGACTCTTACACCTGGTTAGCAGCATGTGGCCATGCTCTCTTTCCCTAAAGATGACATCTCCCTCTCTACTCCCAACCACGGTATTCAGAGCCAGGATTTGAACCCAATCTGCAATTCCAAAACTCTTAAGCACTAAACTGTATGGTCTCCATCATCATCATCATCATCATCATCATCATCATCATCACCATCACCATCGCTTTCTACAGATAAGGAAACTGAGGCACAGAGGGGCTAAGTATAGTGTCCAAGGTCACACAGCTGGTAAGGGGTGAAGCTGGAGTTGAAACCAGTGCAGCCAACTGTACCCACTAAGCTCTCTTGCTTCACATGGATCACCATCCCTTGTGGCCTGGGTTTCCAGTGTATCTGCTCCAGCCTTTGGTGGCCACTGATGGGGCTGGTGCCCTTCTTTGCATCCCCCTGCATTCTGAGCGCTCAGGGTCTTAATCAGCCACCCGAGCTCAGTCTCTCACCTCACTCAGCACAGTAAGGGTTGGTCCTGGTTACTTACCTCCCATTCTCCTCTTTTAAGTCACTGCTTGTCGAGTTTTGCCAGCAGACTGAAAACTTGTCTGCTCATCTCCCACTCTGCCCTTTGGGAATCCACAGTGTGTCTCCACAGCTCCCAGCACTGTTGAAAGCTACTGGTTAATTCTCAAATCCTCCCTGAGCCATTTACATATGTGAAAGTACCTACCCACCACAAGAAGGCAGCCACGTGGGTTGATTCATTCATTCATTCATTCATTCAACAAATGTTTATCCTGCTCACCTGCCAGGTGCCAGGTACTGCCTAGCCATAAGAATAGTACAGTATATGACTCAGGTTCCTGCTCTCAAGGTAATTACACTCCAGTGGGACAGATAATAAACAAAAGGGCTAATTTCAGATGGTGATGAGTGTTAAGACGGAAATAAAGTAGAGGGATGAAGTGGTGAGCAACTGGAGAGGGGAAGGTTCTACGAGAAGGTTACACTTGAGTCTGGACTAGGGTTTCTAAATCTTGGTGCTAGTGGCATTTGGGGCCAGACAATCCTTTGTCATGGAGGATTGTCCTGTGCATTGTAGGATGTTGAGCAGCATCCCTGGTCTCTACTCACACTATGCCAGTAGCCGCCCCCCCAGCTGTAACAACAAACTGTCTTCAGACATTGCCAAATGCCCCCGGGTAGGGAGGAGCAAAATTGCTCCCAGTTGAAAACCACTGGGCTTGAATAATACTTATCAGCATGAGCTCCCAAGTTAGAACCACGTAGAATTGTTGCTTATTAGCTGCTGAGTTGAAGCAAATTACCTAACCTAAGATTTGCTTTTTTCATCTTAAAATGGGTAAAATAATATCTACCTCAAAAGTTATTGTGAAGGGCCAGCCCGGTGGCTTAGCGGTTATGTGCGCGCGCTCTGCTGCTGGCGACCTGGGTTCGGATCCCGGGCACACACCGACGCACCGCTTCTCCAGCCATGCTGAGGCTGCGTCCCACATACAGCAACTAGAAGGATGTGCAACTATGACATACAACTATCTACTGGGGCTTTGGGGAAAAAATAAATAAAATTAAATTAAAATTAAAAAAAAAAAAAAGAACTTAAAAAAAAAAGTTATTGTGAAGAAAAATAAGATAATGTCTGTTGTTATGGACTGAATATTTGTTTCCTCTGAAATTCATGCATTGAAGCCCTAACCTCAGTGTGGCTACATTTGGAGATGTAGGCCCTAAGGAAGTAACAAAAGTTAAATGAGATGACAAGGGTGGGGCCCTGCTCCGATAGGATTAGTGCCCTTATAAGAAAAGATATCAAAAGTAAGAGGCAGACAACAGCAAGCCAGGAAGAGAGCCCTCAGCAGAAATCGAAATTTGTTGGCACCTTGATCACAGACTTCTAGCCCAGAACTGTGAGAAAATACATGTCTGTTCTTTAAACCACTCAGTCTGTGGCATTTTGCTACGGCAGCCCAAGCAAACTAATACAGATTTTCTGTAAAGAACCTAACACAGGGCTACAATAACAAAGGGTCAATAAATAACCCATCAGCTACTGAACTCACATCCAAGGAGTCCACTCTTGCCTCATCTATACTTAGTTACAATTGAATTTTCCATGGTATCTGTCCAATTTGACTTCTTCTAAATCCACCATCACAATGGGGTAGGTACAAGAATTGGGCATCGATTGGCTACTCTACCCAGCATCCATTCCAGCTCCTCTACCCTTCACCCTTCTTAAAAGCACCTACATGTTCCTTAAGGAACTATGTCTCCCCCACTGTAACAGTCACACGGCCCAGATAAGGACTGACCTCACACCCCTGCAAGTAGGCAATGATTTGCTTAAACCTCAATGACTAGTTTAGGGATTGCAGATGTAAGCCACTCAGCATACAGCTCGTGGCATGCCTCTGGGCCTCTCTCTCCTTGGCTGTACATAAGCAGGCATGTCACCCCTTTTGCCCTAGTCACCCATCTGCAAACAAGAAAAGCCATCCTGAAGCCAAAGCCAGCACAGTGAAGAGGGCACCACTGAGACAGTCAAAGCTGTCCCTTACAACATCT